ATACATGCACCCCCTATGTTCACAGCAGCACTATTCACTATAGCCAAGACACAGGAACAACCTAAATGTCCATTGACACATGAATGGATAAAGAAGATGTGGTGAATATGTAAAGTGGAATACCACTCAGCCGTAAAAAGAAAGAGACAATGCCATTTGCAACTACATGGAGGGATCTAGAGATTAACAAACTAAGTAAGTCAGACAAAGACAAGTACCGTATGTATCACTTATCTGTGGTATTCAAAATAACTGAATTTATCTGCAGTATAGAAACAGACTCACAGTCATGGCAAACAGACTCATGCTTGCCAAGGGGAAGTGAGGATGGGAAGGATGGATTGGGAGTTTGGGATTAGCAGATGCAAACTAGTGTATACACAATGGATAAACAACAGAGTCCTACTGTATAGTACAGGGAACTATATTCAGTATCCTATGATAAACTATAATGGAAAAGAATATGAAAAGTAATGTGTGTGGGTATATATATATATATAATATATATATATATTTAATATATATATATATATTTAGCTGCTAAGTCATGACAGACATTTTTTGTGACCCCATGGTTGGTAGCCCACCAGGCTCCTCTGTCCATGGGATTTCCCAGGCAGGATTTTCAACCCAGGGATTGAACTTGTGTCTCCTAAGTTGGCAGGCGGATTCTTAGCGCTGAGCCACCAGTGAAGCCCCGTGTGTGTGTGTGTGTGTGTGTGTGTGTGTGTATGTGTAACTTTGCTTTACAGCAGGAATTAATACAGCATTATAAACCAACTACTCTTTAATAAAATAAAGTCTTAAAGCAATGAGCAGAACTAGATGGGCGCCATGTGGCCCTTCGCAGTCGGGGAGGAGTCACACGAGATGGATGGAGCTCACTTTGGTTTCTGTAGCATGCCTGCCGCAACCCTAACTCCACATTCCATTTAAACAAATTTTTAAGCTTTCTATAATGGTGAGTAACATTTACATTTCATCCTTTGCCTAGAACTATTTCTAGCTTTATTTTCTCTTTCCAGAGCTTGGCACCGCTCTTCCAACCACCCCCCCACCCCCCGAGGTATTACCGTCGGCCTTAGAAATGGCATTGCTCCCTTTTGTTCTTCCCGCCGGTTTGATAGGTTGTGTCTGCACATTTGAGAGCAGCATGTTTTCCTTTTTCAGCATCTAAACAATCCTGTAACCACATCACAGCATTTTTAGTCACGTCATTGACCTCCGCTGGCGGTGAACCCCCCTCCAACACTTGAATGCATTAATATCACCGTCTGCAGCATTTTAATTTAATTAGAGCAGTGCTTATAATCCTCCTGAGGAAATGGTTATTCCCCTCTGTAATGTTAAAATAAAACACCTCTGCTTTTCATCCAACTGACAATTTGCTCTCGAGGTGAATGTACCGTAAACGGGTACTTGCTGTCCCTTCCTTGGGGTTGGGCCAGAGAAGCAGTTCTGAGAATGAAGAGGTTTCCTTTATTTGGAGAATTGGATGTTAGTCTCTTTACGTCTCTCTGCTTGGATGTCTCCATCAGAGATAGCGGTATTTGTTTTGTATTTCTAACTTTTTGACAGTCTGCTGATTGTGCCATGGTAGATGCTAAGTGCACTGCTAGAGTAAGAGATTTAAAAATGAGGACCACGTGAATCATCCTAGAGATGAACAGAAAGAGAGACAAAGGAGATAAATGTGTGGTGTGGGATGCCCAAGTGTGTGTTTTGTCCTCCTTGGAAAGGAACCCATAGGCTGGACAGCATCCTTTCTGTGGTCCGATGAGTGTTGTCCTGGCCGCCGAACAGGGCACAGTGTAACTGCCACTAATTCCTTGAGGCCCTAGAAGCACATTTTGCTTATCCCCCTCAGGGTCAAGGGTACCCATCCTTTCTTTTGTGACTGACAAACCTCTTCATTAAGTCTTTTAAAAAGAACTTCCCAACCCAGACTTACTGTGTTGCCACATTGCTGAGTGGAAACCTGTATCAGAAGTGAGAGGCATTCAAGGTCCATGATCACTCAGTCTCTGGCCACCTTTTTCTTTTTTAATAATTTTATTTATTTATTGACTGTGCTGAGTCTTCATTGCAGCATGGACATTTCTCTCGTTGCAGCGAGCAGGGGCTACTCTCTAGTTTCAGTACGCAGGCTTCTCATTGCAGCGGCTTCTCTTATTGTGGAGCATAGGCTCTAGGGCGTGAGGGCTTCAGTAGTTGTGGCTCGAGAGCTCTGTAGTTCTGGTTCCTGGACCCTGGAGCACAGGTTCAAGAGTTGTGGTGCACTGGCTTAGTTGCTTCTCTGTATGTGGGATCTTCCCAGACCAGGGATCATATTTGTGTCTCCTGCAATGGCAAGTGGATTCTTTACTGCTGAACCACCAGGGAAGACCTGGCCTTCTTTTCATGAAACAGCAAGGGAGTCTTCTTCTGGAATTGTTTGGATGTGGAGGTGAGGGCATGAAATCCCAGGGCAAGCCCTGAAGTGTGACATTCAGTGTCTCAGTAAAGACAGGGAACCACACACATGTAAACACACATGGGGCTGCCTCCGAAAATTATAGTAAAAAGCATCTTGTTGTCATTGAGTCACCAAGTCGTGTCTGACTCTTGCAACCCTATGGACTGTAGCCTGCGAGGCTCCTCTGTCCATGGGATTCTCCAGGCAAGAATATTGGAGTGGGTTGCCATTCCCTTCTCCAGGGGATCTTCCCAACCCAGAGATCTAACGCAGGTCTCCTGCACTGCAGGTGAATTCTTTACCACTGAACCATCAGGGAAGCCCCAAAGAAGGTACAACATGATAATTTACCACGTCAGAATATGTACATTTTAAAGGTGACACCTGGCTTGACTCTTTTTCTCAGCAGGCTGGTGATATATTTTCCCAAGAAATTAAGTAGAATCTGCTTGGAGAGCTGGGTTTCTCCCTCCTCATCATCCTAGATGGAGATGGTAAGGGGATTGAGGTGGCCTCTCACTCACGGAGACTAGTTACAGAATCTTGTCTTCCAGAGAAAGTCACCGTCTTACGAAATGCCATCTTTTTTTTTTTTTTTTTTCTCGTACTCATGCCTTGCCATTTGAAAGGTTTCTGGTTGCACAGGGTTTTCTTCATCAACAGTTTCACTTCTGCAAAAACCCTAACAAAACAGAAAGCTATTTCTGGGAATAAAGTAACGGTAGATAAGATATTGAGGCGTATGTTGGGACTGGGGTGGGGTGAGGGGTTATTGAAAGGTTGAAGTGTATGAAGAATTTGTTAAACTAGAAAAAACAGACCCCATTTAAAATATTTTAAAAACCTATCTCACCTTGAAAAACCCCTCAACAGATTTCGTATGTTTCCCATATGTGTGTTTTATGTCTTTGCCTTTTTCACCTCCAAAACCCCAAACCAAGCCCTGAAAATACAACTCATCCCTAAGTTAGAATTGCTCAGAATATGTGTGATGTTTGGTAAAGTTCAAGAAAAGTGAAGTTGAAGGTTTTGCCTCTGGGTGACCTTTCACAGGACACCTCGATCAATCCAGAAATGAAATCTAAGGTGTATGTGTCTTCCCTGAATTAAGAAATTCACCAAGAAACTTTAGGATGTGTGTTTAAGCAGAAATATTCCAAAGGCCCTCGTTGCCAGTTGAGGATGCCTCGGGGAAGGTATAGTGATTCCATTCGGAAATTACAAAAATATGTATATATTCATTTAAAATCAAAACTTCCTACCACAACCACCTAACTTTCCAGGTTATGAGAAGTTTTAATTTGGTTACAGGGCTGGGGGACGCCCCTGCTTCCCTTTGCATATTTGATAGAGTATAAGATGTTAGAGAATGCTTTGTAAAACCTAAACACCCCCCTTGGCTTTATTTTAATCCATAATTTTTCTTTTGCTCTTGATTTTTGTTTTCACAATGGCATCTTACCGATCTCCCCTATCCCCACCCCCAACCTATTTTTGGACTGTGTGTGTCCCACTTTACTTTGCCCAGTTAAACCACAGAAACTAACGGAAGTTGTGTTTATGTATGGACTGCAAGTCAAACCAGTTGGTACAGATCTGAGATGCAAATTGCACTACTCTCCCGATGAACAGCATAATCAGTTTCTTGCCATTATTTGCCACATTTTAACTTAAAACTAATACTTCCCATCCCATCACATTGTTTTAATCAGTCTAACAAACACTGCCCTTTTGAATTTAAACAGTGGAGGTGCTGACTTTCCCCTCCCCCTTTCCTTGTCTGTTGAGTAAGTACCGTCAATTAAACCGTACTTCCTTAAATGCAGAGGATTCTTTGAATGAGCTCTTGAAATGCTTCAGAAGGAAAGGAAATATTGATTCTAAGATGGAGCACGAGGGGAGCAAGGAGATAACTGGTTGATGTGGCAGATAATTCGCAGCTATGAAGGGAAAAATGAAACCCTGGAGATTTTTGGTGGTGATGGTTGTATAAAGGGATAGGTAGGTGATAGACAAATACTGCTTATAGATTTATTAACTGAAACCTCAAACTTATAAGCTCTCACTTTGGGCTCACCTCTCATTGGGTCTAAGTATGGAATCTTACTTTGATCAGAAGCTGGAGATACTGCCAGAGAAGAGAAAAATGGTTTTTAATGTATTGGTGACATAAATTATGTGACCGGGAAGAGTAATTTTTGAGAGAGGAGTCTTTAATGACATTCTCTTGGGATATATTGTTTCATCCCCTTCATCTTTCCTCCCCTCTTTACTGGAACAAACCACTAATACAAAGAGGAAAAAAAAAAAGAATACGTATTGACCCCAGCACGCAGGAAAAGCCCTATCTTAAAGCTTTTCAGCATTTTGTTATAAATCCCGAGTGCTGGCGATCTGAAAGACAACTGCACAGAGAGAGGTATCCTCTGGAGAGGTGACCCACACCCAGACTCCCCCACCCACCCCCTCGCGGCTGTCACCCCTCAGTTCCAGGCTTTCATTGTCTTTTTTCCCCTTCCCCTCTCTCTGCCCTTCTCTTTAACAGCAGGAACGAATTTCATACACACCCCCCGAGAGCCCGGTGCCCAGTTACGCTTCCTCGACGCCGCTTCATGTGCCAGTGCCCAGAGCGCTCAGGATGGAGGAAGACTCGATCCGCCTGCCCGCGCACCTGCGTGAGTGTTCGTGCGTCCTGGATGGATGGGGGATGGATGGAATGGGTGGACGGACAGACTGTCAATCAGAAGGGTCAACCGCATGCGCTGAGGGAGCTAGGGCTGCAAGCCCGGGCAGGGGGCACACTCTGAGATGGTTTTCCTACAGTTTCCAGAAACTCTTGGCATCCTTCGTCTCCCGCCGCCCCATCCCCCAAAATGGCTTTGAAAACCGTGAGATTCCGAGATTCCTGGATGTTCCGTTGTTTCTCTGTGCGTTGATCTCAACTCTGACTATGACAGGGGTACTACAGGTTCCACTGAATCTCCCAAGAAGCAAGGTGAACTCTTGGGGGAGAGTCTGTCTTCCTAAAGTTCACACTTCTTCCCCTTCCGTGTCTTCACTGCCCCTAAATTTTGCACAGCTTCTGGCCAGACTCCCTCCTCTTTGGCTTTTTGCTGTGTACTTGAGCTTTATTTGCAGGGCTGTCCCCTCCTCTTCCATGATTGTCGCTCTGTTCCTTCCTCTTATGCCAACACAGGGCCTTTCTCTCTCCCCTCCTGTCTTCTCTGTCTCTCTTTTGTACCTTCATTGCCTCCACGGCTCCCATTGTGGGTACTCAGTCGCTCAGACGTGTCCCACTCATTGTGACCCCATGGACTGTAGCTCTCCAGGCTCCTTTGTCCATGGGATTCTCTAGGCAAGAGTACTGGAGTGGGCTGCCATTTCCTTCTCCCAGGGATCTTCCGGACCCAGGGATGGAACCCGCATCTCTTGCATTGGCAGGCAGATTCTTTACCGCTGAGCCACTTGACAACTCCCATTATTTTGTAATAGTTCTACCTTTCTCTTCTGAGTTTCCTCTGCCCCTTCCTCTTCCACTTCCCCTGCCTGAATCCTCAGCTGCAGCTGGGCAGAGTATCAGGGGCCCCACACTTGGGCTGCTGGGGCCAGGCTCCGAAGCACCTGACACCTGTCCCTTCCCTTTTTGTCTCTCTTCTGAGCTGCCACTCAGCCCCGATGATCCAGGGTGCTGGGTGTAGCAGGGGAGAATGGATCACCTGATTTCCAACCTGGCTGCGATGTCCAAGAAAATGCCAGATTCTCTGGCTTGACTATTACCCTTGGGACGCAGGTTCAGGTTATGGAGGCCACGGCAGGGGGAGGGAGTCACCTTGGCCCTTCCCTAGTTGATTTCTCATGACTTGAATGGTGGTCTTGTTGTACCTGCCATGTCTTTCTGCCACAATTGTTCTCCCTGGGTTATTCTGCTCTTCGTGGCTTATCCCTCCTGAGAAAGCCCAAGGCTGCCTGCTAAGAGTGGGGAGCGAGAGGAGAAGATGCAGGCGTCTGTTTCCTCTGTCTGTGCCTATTCAGCAGATCAGATGACTATGATGCTGGGAGGTACTGGGGGGTGTTACTGGCATATTCCTTCTCTTTCACAGTGAGTATGGTAGCTGTAAAACTTCAAGGGGTGTTGGGGGCTGAAGGCATCCTTCACCTCCTTCAGTCAGCCTGCCACATCTATCAGTGTTTACAAAGCTGGTATACTGTGGTCAGCACCTTCCAGCCTCAGTCTACCATCTTCTCCACAATGAACTTTAAAGAGATTAGGACTGTGAGGGTGTCAGGGTCATGACTGTGGGCACGGTCATCTGCAGTAAACTGGAGCATTGTGGTACCAGCGAGTGTTGTGAGCAGACAGACTAGGAAAGAGACCACAGCCAGGTGTGAGCCTTTTTTTCTTCCGGAGGTTTTTTTTTGCTTGGGCCTTTCCTTTCGGATTGGACCGGCTTCGGGCCTTGCGGCCAAGGCTTGCTTGTTCTTAATCTCATTCATTTATTCATTCCACAAGCAGTTACTGATTACCTGCACTATGCCAGACACTTTGAAATGAATAGAGTAGACCCAACTCCTTGCCCCTGTGGAGCTTGGAGTCTCCATAAAGAGAGAAAAGGAAACGATGAACTCCTGTTCCAAATAGGCTGAGGTTTCTTTCACGGCTTTTGAATTCTGTACGATGACACATTCACTCCCCCGACCTCCCCCCATCCCAAGAAAGCCCTAACTCTTGGTTTGCTGCTGGATGACTTTCACATATGGAGGCTCTTTTACCCTAGCGCTGCCTCTCCATAAAAAGTTATCATGATAAAATGCACTAACAAACACAATGAACTGGCGCTCAGGAGATCTTAATCCTTGACTAGTTCTACTGTTAGATGAGCTGTTTGACTGTGAGGCAGTCATCATAACACTCAGTTTTCCTACCGTGCAAGGTGGTGTTTGGACAGGAGAATATTTAACAGCCCTACCTTGAAAATATTATGACCTCACCTAAGACATCATTTTCCCTACTTGGAACTGTTTCTTCCATACAGACATTGTAACGTTTTTTCTTGAGTAGACAGTTTCCTCATTGAGTCACAGCTGTGCTGGTCACTGCTGGCCAGGCCCTGCCAAGTGCCTAGCACATAAGCATCATAGCTAGTATTTATTTATTGGGATGACTTTGTAGCAGGCACTGTGTGAAGTCCTTGATGGAAATTATTTTATTTATTCTCACAGCAGTACTTGTAGATATTCTTTCAATATCCATGTCACACATCAGGAATTTAGCATTTAAGAGAATGTAAGTAAACTGCCAAGGTCACCCAGTCAGTGGGAGATAGAGTCAGGGTTCAGACTCAGTTCTGTCTGACTCCAGAGCCTGTGTGTCTGTGTGTGTGCTCAGGCATGTCCAGAAACCATGGGCCATAGCTGGCCAGACTCCTCTGTTCATGGGATTCTGTCCATGGGGCTCTCCAGGCAAGAATCCTGGAGTGGGTTGCCATTTCCTTCTCCAGGGGATTCTCCTGACCCAGGAATTGAACCCACGTTTCCTGAGTCTGTCGCATCAGCAGGCAGATTCTTTACCATTGTGCCACTTGGGCTCTTATCTATCCTGCCACGATGTAAGTATATTTAATATGTATGTTTTGGATGGATGGATGAATTCAGGGTTGACACTTAGCCAGTATTCACTGATGTGGCCAGAAGGCTGGTTTCTGGCTAGAATCTGTTCTAACTGGTGGATCAGTTGTTGAATAGTTTGCATTTCTCCCTTGGGTAATGGATGGATGAGCAGATGGATGGTTGGATGGATACCCACGTAGAGAATTATCCGATATAGAACTGTAGCAGGGCACTGCTGGCCTTAAAACATGGTCAGTTGTTAGGTGATGGACTTAGGTTTCATGGTGATAGTTTTGCCTGAGTGCTGCTCTCTGGGCAGCCTGACGTCGGGGCCCTCCTTGGCATCTGCATTGGTCCTCTCGTAACACCACCGGTTCCCACATCTGGAACGAACCCTCCGGTTCCCAGGCTCTTGCCATCTGTCCTCAGCTGGGACTTTCCACGGGAGGCTGAGCTGCCCGCCTCTCTCGCGGGTTCCAAAACTCAGCTGCCCGTTGTGCTGTTTGAGAAACGTCTCCTGGAGCCTCTAGGTTGGTTGCGGCTGAGCTGTACACTTGAAGATGGCTCCCAGCTGGGTTTCCAAGCCGAAAAGAAAATAAATCTTCTGACAAGGGAATTTGGTTATTGCTGTTCGAATCTGGGATTCCAGACAATTCCCAGTGGAATGCTCATGGAAAGTACGGGGAAGAATCCGAGAGCCAAGACAGCAGCAGGACATTTATGGTATTGCTAGTTCGAAAGCGTTTTTAGCTGCTTGTTTTAAAGAGACACTCACCAGCCTGGTATGCCTCCAGTGGCTTCCTTTCTCCCGTTATCCTCATTGATCTCCAGATAAACCCTCTCTCTCTTAACCCTTCCTTTTCTTCCTTTCTGAAATCAATATCTAGCCTTTCCTGGTTAAAGGGGAAGGCAAGGATCGTAATATTTAAGGTTCTTGTATGATGGGTTTCTCACCATTTTGTTCTCCAAACACAGGGCCAAATGGAAGACACAGTGTGACAAATTAGGAAGCTGTTAAGAAGTAGAAAGTAATGCCTTTTCCTCTTACTTGCCTGTGATTAAAAAAGAAAACAAAAAAACACAGACAGTGATAAATAGGGCAACCTGTTAAATGGTGATTCTAGAGAACTTGATAGGGGCAGGCAGGGCAGTCTGGTCCCAGGAGAGGAGAGGAGCCCAGAGAAGGGCTTGCCTGCCATCCTGGTCTGGCCTCCTGACCCCCACCCCCCACTCCCTTGCAGGAGTCCTCCAGCAGCTTCTTGGAACTTCCCTGCTGCACCAGGAAGCAAACACAAGTATGTTTATTGAAAAGACAGAAAGGTATTTTTTTCCCCTTCCTTCCGTCTAGGGTATTAAAAAAAAAAAACTTTTTTTTAACCTTGAGGCTAGAGGATCTGAAGTGTGACAATTACATCAGGTAGGTGAAAATGAAAAGTTCTGTTCTTTAAAGGGGACGTAATCCTTTCATGCATGTGTGCTAAGTCCCTTCAGTCATGTCCAACTCTTTGCAGTCCCATGGACTGTAACCTGCCAGGCTTCTCTGTCCATGGAATTCTCCAGGCAAGAATACTGGAATGGGTTGCCATTTCCTTCTCCAGGGGATCTTTCCAACCCAGGGATTGAACCCGAGTCTCTAACATCTCCTGCACTGCAGGTGGATTCTTTACCATTAGCACCACCTGGGAAGTCCCCAAACCTTTCATGATACCTTGAAAAAGACTCATAGGACTGTGGTGCCCCTGAGAGTGGCTGGATAAGGCCAGTTTTAGCAGTGAAGGGCCTCATTGGACCTTCACGGTATGAAGATTCTTTCTAGTTTGTCTGCCCAGGGGTCACTTTTTTTTCTAAATTCATGGGTGTTGGGTGGCGAGGAGGACAGCAGAGATACCTTATGGGCTGATGCCAGCCCTGTGACATACTCAGCCTCAAATCACGATGTCCAGGGCCACCCAAGTGGTCACAAAGCATATATTTCAGATCTACGGGGCAGAATTGAAATCACTAAATGCCTTTTCTTTATTAAATTCCTTTTCACATAATCATCTTGCATTTAGTCAACATGATCACC